CTTTCCCTTAAAAATCAGCACTCTCTCTCACTCGCGCGTTTTCATTTGGAATAGTGAAATCCTAGTAGAGGTACTTTATAAAGCTTAAGCTTTTCTAAAGTGGTAAAGCAGCTTTTAAGTTGCCACTGGATACAGAGCCTCCTTGTCTCAACATAAAACTGATTTTACTTAGGCACACTTGCATAAAAATAGGATGTTAAGTTATATTGTTTCAAAGTTAAGCAAGACCCAAGTATATCTTACATATGGTGATAGTTTTTCAGCTCTTCAGTTGTCTGTGTGGGTTTTTACATGCCATTTTTTCAGTCACTGCATGGATTTATATTCAGAAAGTTGGTGGTTGTGTTTAAAAAATATCACTGAATTTATTTTATAGAGTGGGCATATGAACGTAACTATTTGCTGCTGTACCGTGGTATGGTGTTGTCAGATTTTGTATTTGTTTTTGTTGTTTTGCTAAACAATTAAAGAAGAGGGAAAACATAAAATACTCTATCTTTAAAAAAGAACTGATTTTTTCCTTTGGGTTTGAGAGCAATCAAAATTACTTTTGTCAAGACTCTGAGTAGAAAATCCTGAATATTAACCCCAATATGTCATTCTTAAATGTTCCTCAAGACATTCCCTACTTTAGTAGAAAATATCAGTCAAATATCAGTCAAACAGCAGGGTTTTTAAGGGTTAAAAGTATGTTAATAATATGATTAAAAACCATGTTTTTTAGGAGAAAGCTGCATGTGGTCTTGGGGGATATTTTTCTCTTGAAATGAACTATTTTGCATTTTTCATACACTTTCAAGATTTTCAGCAGCAAATTAGAATATACATAATTCATTACAGTTGACTTAGAAGTATAACAAAAATATTTTAATAATTTCTATGTCTTTTAAAGGATGTAAGGTGTATTTTGAAGGAAGTGATTTGCTCTATTCTGCCTTTCAGCAAAATGCTGGTAATATTAATGTGTACCTATTCTGTGAGAGTGTGTATGTGTTTCTTTTATTTATTTTTTTTTAACTAAAACGTGAAAAGTTTTAAAATAGCCAATTTTGTGATATCGAACCATGAAACTACAGAGCCCTTGGAAAGCATGAGTACAAAAAACTCCTACTGTCTGTCTAGTAGGCAATTACTAACCATCGTAATATTTTAATATAGGTAAATAGGTATTGGTCAATGGAGACTATGCTAAATTTTTAATAAGACTCACCAAGATCACTATAGTTAATGAAGAATAGTTTTTCTGTTACTAAAAACCTCATTTTTAATACTTTTATCCTTTACCATAATGAATAGTGCATATTAGCAAATCAAATAGTAATCAAATAGTAAATAAATAATATCCTAACTTTATACTTTCACTTGGATTTAAACAAACTGTAGGCAACACAATATATTTTCCATGTTTGATATACATAACAGATTGGTAATTTAAAAAATAGTTAAATTAGATATTTCTTATATACTTTAAACTTCTATTGAATTACAGAAATACAGGTTCCAGATCGTGTAAACAACTGAGACATCTGTCTATGGCTGTATCTAAGCTCAGAAAAATAGGGGGTTGTTTGAGTTTTTTTAAATCTGTGTTCTCAGTATTAACTAGCATGGTTTGGCAACATGATTGGACAAGGGGAGGAATCAAATGCATGTTAGTTGGTCATATTCAACCCTATGCTCAACTTAATTCTTAGTTAGACAATTAACTCTCAGTTAGCCAATATCTCCTATACCATTAATTCCTCTTAAATTACCAAGAGCTGAACCAAAAAGTCTTTGGAACACACTGAAGACTCTTGGTCTGAATGACCATATCAGGACTCAAAGTTTGGAGTGTGGTTTGAAATATTTTAGAGATGGGGAAAAGAAAACCTGTTCTTTTAGAGTATAACAGAAATAGTTGCATTATACAAATTTAGGTTGGCTTCCCCTTTGCTGTGTATAAGGGATCCTCAGACTAGCTAGAAAACAGTATTTTTAGGGCAGCAACGATTCAAGGCATGTTCTTTACCTAATCTGATTTCTGTTCCTTTAGAAGAAGCAGCATATATGTGCAGGTTACAACACTTGATATTTCTCTTGGTTTGAGCTAGAGGACATGTTTGTGTCCAGAGAATGGGCCTGATTAAACAAATTCCAAGCACCAAGTGCTCCTCTTTCAACTTTTGTGTCACAGATGGCAGTGAGTTACCTCTTGTAAAAGCTTTTTTCCCTCAACAAAAAAAGAAAAAGAACATAATTCCCAGAACCCCAGTGTTAAGTATGCTGCAGGAAGAGCAACCTCCTTTGTCTCCTACCTGTCCTCCTTCCAGGGATTAGAGCACCATAGACACTGGAAATAAGGAAATTCTGGCATGTTTGCGGGGCTGAGGGACACTAACTGAAATCTGCCTGTTCGGTGCCAGCAGTGGGAAGGTTTGCCTGGGATGTCATCTCGCTGGCTATAGATAGCAAAGTCAAAGCTCCTTAGAGAGAAACCTCTTACCAGTCACTTTCCACGAATGGTACATACACCTAAAGGTACTTAGTGAAAATCCTTGAGAGGTATTTAATGCTAAATCAGTTTGTCTTCCCAGCATCTCTGAAACCCACACGCACACAGGCAGAGAGAGGTACCAGGGCAGCAGCAGCAGTAGTACAGCACCAGAACCAGTCAGTCACAGACCCAGCCAGGCTTTGCCACCCCAAAAACTTGCCAAGATGTGTGACATGGCGGGGCTGGATAACCTGATCGCCAATACAGCATACCTGCAGGCCCGGAAGAGCACCGATGGAGATGCCAAGGAGATTCAGCGGAGACGTAGGAGCCTCTCACTACCCAAAGCTACCTGCTGATTATGAGAGCACCTGTGAAGTGCAGCCCATTGGCAAGAAAATGTTCAGGGAGTTCTTAGAGACCGTGCCTGAATATGTCATAGTCAAGAACTTTCTGGATGAAGTGTCCAGATGGGAAGTGGCAGAAGACAACACCAAGAATAGTATTGTAGAGAGCCTATTCACTAACTTTCTCAAGTCTGGCTCCAGCAGCTACCTGGCCTTCATAAGCTCAAACCTGGCCAGCAAGTGCCAGGAAGCCACTGAAAAGGATTATGAGAATGTTGTGGAGCTGGCCAAGCGGGAGAGCAAGACCTTCCTCCAGGACAAGCCCTTTCAGGAATTCCAGAAGAGTCGCTTCTATGACAAGTTCCTTCAGTGGAAAGTTTTTGAGAAGCAGCCAGTAAATGAAAAGTATTTCTATGAGTACCGGGTGCTGGGCAAAGGCGGCTTTGGAGAGGTAGGAGCTCTACTTTGGAAGGCAACTCCCACCCCCTCCCCCTCTTCCCCAAGACAATAGATGGGTTTGGGGAATGCAAGGAGAAGCCTATAATAGACTATGTAGATGGCCAGTGCCTTAAAAAAAATCACTTCCTTAGACTCCATAGTATGATATAACTCCATTTTTGGGAAGTGGGAGGCTGTCCCAAGACACCCACTTTTCTGTTTTCATAGTGTTATTTTATCCAAACCTAGATAAAACAGGCTCCCCAGAGATAAAATTAACTCTACATAGGGCCATCCAAGTAAAATGAACCAATTCCCTATTCTTGTTATATCTCCTTGCTAATGCTGCCCATCATATGAATCACAAACAGTGCCCTCTTGCACCTCATGCTTTTCCAGGTCCTACCCACTGCCATTCTTGTTTCTCCTCCAGTGTGTGCATATAAACTACTTATTTTCACTTTGTATCTTTGTCCTCTAGGTGTGTGCCATCCAAGTAAAAAACACTGGCAAGATGTATGCTTGTAAGAAACTAGATAAGAAGAGGTTAAAGAAGAAAAATGGGGAGAAGATGGCTCTGCTAGAGAAGGAGATCTTGGAGAAGGTCAACAGTCGTTTCATAGTCTCCCTTGCCTATGCCTTTGAGAGCAAAAGCCACCTATGTTTAGTCATAAGTCTCATGAATGGAGGGGATCTTAAATACCACATCTACAACATTGGTGAGAGGGGCTTGGAAATGAGCAGAGTCATCTTTTATTCAGCTCAGATCACCTGTGGGATTCTGCATCTCCACTCCATTAACATCGTGTACAGGGACATGAAGCCAGAAAATGTCCTTCTGGATGATGATGGCCACTGCAGATTGTCTGACTTGGGCTTGGCAGTGGAAGTGAAAGAGGGGAAACCCATCAACCAGAGGGTAAGTGCAAGTTCATTGGGCAGGGAAGAGAGGAGGGAAACCATTCTATTTCTAATACGTTATGAGAACAAGTCTTAATTCTTTAGGATTTATTCTTCACTAAAGACCTTATGTGAACATTTCATTCTAAGTGACAGTTGGTAAGAGGATTTGTTAATTAACTCTTTGGCTGCTAGATACAGTAACACAACTTACCTCTTCACAGAGAAAAAAATATCTATCTGTTATTTCTTTTGGAATAGCCCCTTAGCTCAAAATAGGCATTTTAGAGGTACTAGCACAGATACCATGCAACTGAGACAGGTTACTTTTCATGAGCTACAGTGCTTAATTAGGGATCTAACCAGAGTGATTTGTTCGTGTAATGAGAGAACCGAAGGTATGGTTCCTTCCTAGGGGATGGGCATTTCTTCCATTTCCTATAGTTTTTGTAAATCTTAATATTGTTGGTAGGTTGGGTTACATGTGCATGGAGCTGTGTAAGAAGTGATCTGTGCAACACCCATACAAAGAAAACTTCCTGACCCCAAAGCCTGTAGTTTAAAGATATGTGAAAGCTAAGTGAGGTTTGAATGGAAGGGTGTGAAAATAAGTAGCAGAAAAAAACAATGATGGTTGGTTATTTTTGCTACCTAAATTAGAATGTGCAGCACATTAGTGATATCTGTGGTGGTGATTATACACTGATCCAGATTTAAAGTGGTAATGTCATGAGGGTTACACAAGAAAGGTGTATTGCATTACATAGATATGGTAAGCATGCTTATTTCTGTTTGACCAGAACATATAATCATATACAATGAGTGAATGTTTTAAGAAGTATCTTAATTATTTGAAAAAACAGCAGTTTGTAATGTTATTTTTAGAGGTACTACACTTGGAGCCCCTAACTAGTTACATTGTATTTGTACTCCGTCTCATACTATGCACAAGACTGCTTGTGCAGATCACAATTAGATGTATGCATACAAATGTAAATAATTGCTACTAGTTTGGCATGGTCACTTGTAAAATTAGAAACTGTACCAGAAAATATATTTTTCTGTGGCCAATATATATTTTACTATAGATCTGAAATGACTAGCATGTCCTAAAGTTAATTGCAAAAGTTGGATAACGTGACTGAAGTGTTCACTTGAACCTTACCACGAGCAGCATAAAAACTTTTAATCACTACCACGGTGCAATAAAAACATAATTATAAAGCATTTTCTATTTCAATTTAAAAGTTATACATAATTTATTTTTAAGGCTTTATAATGTATTGAAGCCCAGTCATTGCTCTACCACTTAAAAACAGGTCCACTTTGAGACCCCAAATAGACTTAAACCAACTGTGCTGGAGGACCTTATTACAACCTGGTCATCCAACAACGTATTTAAAACGTGGTTCCAGTTTGTAATAAAACAGTTTCTAATCATGTTTAAATCTTGTTTAAAAGCATGCTACAGCCTTAGAGATGCTAGGTATCATTGTGTCTTAGGATGGAACTATGTTTTAACCATAGGGAACAGCTATGTTGCAAACATTTTTCCTAACTAACTGTTATGATGACTTTTAACATGATCTTTTCTGATAAAACTTGTATTTCTATCTCCTATACAGAAAAATAAAAATATTTATTTATTATGCATGATGGATATGTACATACCGATCATGCATGAGAAATAAATATTTTTATTTTTATCATATATACATATCCATTGTGCATGATAAATAAATATTTTATTTATTTATTTATATCCATCATGCATGTTAAATAGATGTTTTTATTTTTCTGTACGGGAGATAGAGAGAAAAGTTTTATCTGAACAGATGAAAATAAAAGTCATCAATGTTGTAATGACAGTTATTTAGGGTCAGTGTGTGTGAAAACTATCTTATTACATCCATTTCAGTTACCCTTAAAGATGACATATAAAGAAAAAGTTTCACTTTTTTTATTTGTGATGTATAATGCATTCTAATGTGTTAGAATGTTTTATGTTTGTTTATGCATTTTTTCTTGTGTTTCACCTTAATAAAAGCAATAGTATGAAGTGTTACCTTCCTTGTTTTTGCTGAAAGACTCCTTAAAGAACTGGAGAAAGGAGCCTTCTCAAGCCTATATTGTGATACTTTACTCATAGTAATTAGTAACTCGTACCAAAAGTAATGCTACTGCAGTCAATGGGCCTCCCATTACTGTGATTTTCAAATGTAGCTAAGCACCTAATTTCCATTGGTTTAATGTGAGCGAAGTACCTAGGCACTTTGGAAAAACCCCAGTAAGCACTTTTATGTTTTTAGGCATATAACTATCTTTAAGAAATCTGACCCTTTGTGACTGTCTAAATTTGCTTGAGTTTTCTATAAAAAGGAGATAATTTTGATTTTATATATTAAGCCAGGTGATCAAAACTGGTATTAAAACAATGGCATTAAAATGCTGCAAAAAGTATTCAGCATTTTGAACAGGTCATATTAGATGTTCAAATTTGGTGCCTCAATGTAGGCATATAAATTCATATTTGAGCACCTAAAAAATGCCTGGATTTTCAGAGATGGACAGTTTCAACTTTCATTGAAGTTCATCAGTGCTTGGCACCTTAGAAAATCATGACTTCTTTAGGTATCTGAATATGGAGCAGATGTCTGGCTTTTAGCACCATGTTTAAAAATGCTTATCCCCTATGTTTTGGCAGTAACCACACATCTATGAAATATACATCTCATTATATCAGAATTGTAAAATTTAATAGCCATGTATAAAAATAGTGATATTTTGTCCTGTCTGTGCTGTAAATTACATAAGTTTGTGTGATGACCTTTATGGCCACACCCCATAGTGCTCTAAGCACTGAAGCATTACGTAGTGCTACAAAAATAACATCTGTCAATGGCATTGGAAACAGTTGTAAATAAATAAAGGACTAGTAGTAATTTTAAAGTTTAGACAACTTTAGTCTCTTAAATGCTGCTTAGTTTTTCTCAGAAGCCAGTTGGTTCCAGCATCCAAAGCCTTGTAGATGGAATTGCAAATTCCTTTAAAAAGTTCCTGATTTGAAGATGCCTAAAGAATATCTAAGAAGAAAAGAGTGATTAAGAATTGTATGTAGTGTCTGAACAATATATTAATTTTCCTTAGAATGAGCATATAGCAAGCCTGGTCTTCTAGATATACATAGCCGCATTCTTTTACGTAGAAGTGTGCATATGTTAGCTTACCTGGGTAACCTTCCTCCAAGTATTAGCTTTCTATAGTACCAAGAGTAAGCCTTATGCTACAGGAGTCATTAAATTAGAGGGAAGTGGTCAGTTTTTGTTATGCCCTTCATAATTATAAAGTAATCAAGCTTCTTAGGCATGCTTTATGCAAGCTAAATACTGTATTTACTCAAATCCAAGATGAGTTTTCTTTCCCAGTCAGCATAGTGGGGAAATAGCCTAGTCTTGGATTTGAATACTTGCCCAGGCCAGATGGTGACTCATCTCTGGCTTTAGCCCGAAGCCCAGGGCTCAAGCCTGAGCTGAGCCACTGCTTGCCTTGGCCCAAATGACTTGTTTGGCAGGGGAGGGGACACACAGGTGGGGAGAGTATAGGGGAGACCATGGGAGGGGCCTGTAACCTGCCTCCTTACACCTTGCCAACCATGCCTATGCCTGCCTCCCAATACTGCCTCCCCCACTCCCTGCTCCCCCTCCCACCTATCTGGCCCTGACCCCCTTTACCTTTTGCTCCAGTTCTTGTCCTGACCTGGATTGGCTGGGCTGAGGTCAGGCCAGGGTCACACTGCTGCTGATTACAGCAGAGAAGTAGAACTGCAGCAGAAGGTAAATGGAGTCAAGGAATGTGAGGTAGTATGCATAAGGGGAAAGCAGGGGGTGGGGAGGGTAGGCTGCAGGGGGCAGTAGGAGGTGTGGGGAAGGCTACAATGGGAACAGGCATAGACATGGGGGGGCAAGTTGTGGGGGTGGGGCAGTAGGGGGCAGGTACAGGGGTACAAGGGCCAGGGGACCAAGGAACAAGAGTCTGGCCCCTTGCCCTTCACCACTGCTTTCCACACTCCAGCAGTGGGAGCATGAATTTAACAAAACCTTCCATAAATTAAATTCTATACTTGGAATATTATAACAAATTTATAATTGTCTGTGTATAGAATCTAATTACTCTCTTCTTACTCTTAGAGTTGCCCTGATTTTGGCTCTTATTGGCCAAGCACCATTGGAACTTAAATTGACAAACCTCTAGGTCAGTGATTCTCAACCAGGGTTCTCAACCCAGAGATTTCAAATAGGACTCAATAGTGTTAAAAGCATTCTGACCTGTTGTGGTCTTTCTGGGTTCTTACAAGAAGACTTGCTCTACTATTTTTCTGTAGACAAAAAATGAGTGAAAACTAAGAGCTGACATTTTCCAAGGTGTGTTTTGAGTCTAATGAGGGATGACTTGAGTCTAGCAAGGGGTGTCTTGAGTCTAAACTATTGTTCTAGATTTTGTCTATCTGAGGACAGACAATGCATTAGACAAGGTGATAATGTTTTAATGAAGACAGTGGATGCGTCTACATGTGACTGTGTCGCTGTAGCAGCGTGCTACGGCGACATAGTGTCTGTGGGCAAAAACCATGATGCTGCCTCTACATCGCCATAGCAGCACATTCACTCGGCATAGTGCATTGCTACGGCGATGTGGCGGCTAAAAATAATTGTGCACTGCCAGCACGGCACAGTGTGGGCTGTTACTATGCCATCATTTAAATCCCACTTCCTTGACAGAACACTGTGAGAGCATCCCCTTAAATGGATCTTCACATCATTTTTCTTGTCCAATCTTCACCTCATTGGTTTTACTACAGGAAAGGATGATCTAGACCAGGCTTGTCCAACATATGGCCCGCAGGCCGCCATGTGGCCTGCCAAGCCATTTTATCTGGCCCGAGGCGGCTGCCGCCATGGAACGCAGAGCCATGGCAGCGGCGGGGCAGCGACAAGGCGAGGCAGGCAGGGCCAGCCCGCG